GCTACGATGCAGTAGAGGCTAAAGCGGAGCGAGCATCACGCTCAGGAGCTCACCGCGAACACGATGGTAGACTCGGTGAAGGCGGAGACGGACTGGAGCGGCTTGGCCACGGTGAGGTCGGTGGTGGCGATGCTTCGGTCGGCTCCGAAGAAGAAGACGTCGCGCGGTGGCGCTGGACTGCTAGAGGCGAGGCGAGCAGACCTGGAAGGAGCGGTAGGGCGAGGCGGAGAGGTTGGCAAATGCAATCGGCACGAGGTGCTATGACGAGGACGAATTTTGCGAGCGCAGCAAGGACACCGGCGGCGAGCAGACGGAAGGAAAAGAAGAACGACGGCGGCGACGCTCCTATTTATAGAAGGGAAGGTGCGTCCAGCTTCGACACCTCCCGAACGAGGTCATCACGGAGTCAGAAGCGTGTCACCGCGCGAGAAAGCGGCGAAGACGGTCGGCGGCAAGCAGCTACGTGGCGCCGGCGGCAAGCAGGAGGTGGCGTCGGACTTCAAATTGATTTTTTTGAATTATTTACAGAATTGCCACTGCGTTTATTTTGCAAATTACTCACAATTTTTCTAAAGAAGTTGATAATCTCCGAAAATGAAAGTTGCTCAACTTTTCAAACTCTACAACTTTGCTTCAAGGAATATTTTCAAATTCTACCTCCATTTTGAAATTTGAATTTGGGGTGCATTTGAGCATTTGAATCATTTCAAAATTACTCCAAATTTTATATGTAAACTTTAAAAACTTTGAATACCAAAGTTGATCCTTATAAAATAAGCTTCAACTTTTCTTTTTGTCACACCCCCAAATTCCAAATGGATTTTGCAATAAACAAAAGGGGTAAAAAGGACTTTTATGATTTGAATTTAAATTCACATTTAATTTGTTTCCCTTTTTATTATATTATGGTTTTTGACCAATTACATGGCCCATTAGGGTTATTTGAGTCAAATGACACATGGCCTCACATGATCACATGGAATTTGACCCTTGTGGTCATGATTTTCATTTAGAGTTTTGAATCACATTACATCACATAAAATAACAACTTATGAAATAAAACTTATTTAGTGAATGCATTCAAAATTTTCTACTTTATAAATGCTTTGCAATGCATATGATGACATGTCAAGTTTTGGTGCTAGGTCAAAACACCAGAGGTGTTACAGCTGGGCAATGGGGGGAATGCGGTTAGGCAGGACAAGAGCGAGGGCAACACGGTGATAGCCTAGCAAAGAAGGATCATGGTGTATTTGGTTTGTGGAGTCACCCATGCTTCATGTGGTGATGCATCATGAGTTCATCCCATGAATTTTAGTGGAATCAACTCATTTTTCATGCATATACTAATTCTTAGCTTATGAGGAATGAATCGTGATTGATCAACTCATTTCATTCCACAAACCAAATACAAAAAGTGAGGAGTCAGAACATCATTCCTCAAACAAAACACACCATTAGTGTAGCAGCGTCGGATCCGACAGTAAGGAGCCGCCAGAGACAGAGGAAGGGCGGGGTGGGTTGTGCGTGCCGTCAATGAACGGCGACCGGAATGAGAAGCAGCAAGAAGAGGAAGGATGAGCAGAAAGAAGACATGGAGTTTGCGATGAGAGATGCGAGCCATTGCATGACTCAGATCAACGGTAAAAAAATTGAGTGTTTTGGACCCAAAATATCTAGGTGTGGACTAGATAGGTCCTAAAACACACATCAACACTTTTCGATGAGTTAATCAATTTTAAGTTTGCTTAAATTTATAAAAACAATATCAAATTTCGTATATCTAAATTGTTAAAGCACTAATTTAATATCTATTTAAAATTGTTCTGTCTTTTCTACATGCATAGCTTTCACTATGCAAGTAGATTAGATTATGTCTAGATATATAATAAAAACAATGTATTGAAAAAAGTCATAAGTAAGTTTAGAATGGAGGAAGCAATATTTGTTTGGTATCAGTACTTTTTAAATATTTGGTTTACTGTCAGAAAGTGAAATGTTTTTTTTTTAAACGGATGGAGCACCGTAATTTTCAAGACGAAGAAATGTGAGGCAAGCAATATCACTGCATCACGTGGAAAACGATGAGTAGGACGTGAGGTGTTGGACTGTTGGTGAACGACGACGTTTCCTTTATTTTAGGGAAAAGCTGAAGCACTTTCAGAAAGCTAGAAAAATACACTTGTCGAGACCCAGGCCAACTCGTGCTCATTTTTTTTATGGTAAACTTGTGCTCATTTCAGAACACTCAATCGTTGCCTTTGATAATTATTAGGACAATATAAGTTAGGCCTCACAAGCAACAGATGAATGAGTTGAGCGTGGAAATGCACAGACATGCATCCTTACTGGACGGTACGCGCGTGTTGCTGCGCGCAGCTGGTGATCGCGCCTGTGTGGTGGGTGTGGGTATGTTCGGTGTTTTCGTTGCTATTGGCGTGTTTGGTTGGGTGAATCTGGCTCAACCTGGCTCTCTAGATGCAGATTTTAAATGTTTGGTTGGCTGGACTTTGAGTTAGGTCCTGTTTGGTTTCTACATGCGCTTCTAAAATTCCTGTCACATCGAATATTTAAATACATGCATAGAGTATTAAATATAGACCAATTACGAAACTAATTACATAACTTATGACTAATTTGCGAGACGAATCTTTTAAGCCTAATTAGTCAATGATTTGACAACGTGGTGCTACCGTACATGTGCTAATGATAGATCAATTAGACTTAAAAATCGTCTCGCAAATTAGCCTCCATCTATGTAATTGATTTTATAATTAATCTATATTTAATGCTCTTTATTAATATCTAAATATTCAATGTGACATTAATTTTAGAAACGACCAGGTACCAAACACCTCTGGGTCCTGGAGACATGCAAGAGAGCTCCCGTAGCTTGGCTTTGGGGAAAAAAAAACCGTTTCTCGCAGCCGCTGGCAACGCACGCGGATGGTGCATATGCTGCATCTATCATCTGAGTGTCTGAGATGGGCCAGAATCTTGTGCAACCAATCAATAGCACCGTGTAGCCGGGCCTCAGGGAGACAAGCAGGCGAACACAGCTGCCTGCACACGCAAAATCTTGCCCTCGGGCCTTGGCAGTCTGGCTGCCTAGGTACAGCTTGTCTCATCTCAGAAGATTACCAAACAAAGGGTATATATTAGGAATCAGCAATTCAGCATTGTCAAGAAGAAAATGATCATTATTCCACACAGAATAACTGTTGGGAAAGCTCATGTTCGTTTGACTCTGTAGAGATTGGGAGAAATTACCCTGTAAATCCGTGTTCGTAAAAGCACATTAGAAGCTTAGAATTTCCGGCAACAGGTGATATCAGAAATTTCTAATTAATAAGGAACTTCAGTACCACAGTCCTAATTAATGCAAACAAAACAGAGGAAACCATGCCCATGCACCTAGTCAGCCATGGCGTGGGAGGGAGACGCGAGGAAGATGGAGCCGGCGAGACGGGGCGAAAACGGAGCAAATCCGTTTCAGGTTTTTAGCCCAGGAGGAAGTAATATGATTCTGACATACCTAGCGTCCGGACGTCCCGCCCCCTGGCGGTGTCCGGATGCAGGTCTCAGGTAGCGCTCTTGTCCCACACCGTATTCCGTTCCCCACCGCGTCCCGTTCCCCATCGCGCCCCTGACTCCGTTCCCCACCGTGCCCCTATCCCCGTTCCCCCACCGCGCCCCGTTCCCTCATGGCGCCCCGTTCCTCACCGTGCCCCTGTCCCCGCTCCCCCACGCACCCCATTCTCCCACCGCGCCCCATGTCCCAAGAGCACGAAACACACTTCAAGTGCAACGTCGCAAACATATGGAAAACTATGTAGTGCAACATCGGAATATAAACACTGCAACATCGCAAAATTACGTAGTGCAACATCGAAAAATATGTACTGTAACATCGAAAAAAATATGTACTGCAACATCGAAAATTATGTGATGCAACATCAAAAATCATGTATTGCAACATCGCAAAAATATGCAGTGCAACATCGCAAAAAAACATGTACTGCAACATCGAAAAATATGTACTACAACATCAAAAATTATGTGCTGCAACATCGAAAATTATGCACTGCAACATCTCAAATAGTAGTACCGCAACATCACAAAAATCGACCATGAAAAAATGGAAATATTCGAAAATCATCTATTGCAACAACCCAAAAATTCCACTGCAACATTCGAAAATTATCTGTTGCAACATAAAAAAACCATTGCAACACGGAGAAACAGCAAAAAAGGACGTACAAACAACAAGGGAATAGACTTGAGACGCAGGATGCTCCAGCCCTGGCTCATCACCTTCGAGCTCACCGGAGAACTCGCCGAAACCCTAGCCACCGCCGCGCCCCTCAGATCCAGATGAGGAGGAGGACGAGGGCTCAGATCCAGAGGAGGAGGAGTAAGGCTCAGATCCAGAGAAGGACCGACCTACCTCGTCAGAGCAGCCGGCGTCGTCCTCGTCTCCGGTAGAGGAGCAGGAGCCAAGTCACAATGGAGGTCGCTGAGGGGGGAGGGAGGGAGCGCGGGGCGGCACTGAGCTGGGTGCGAGCACGCGTCCGTCCCGGGGAGCGCGCGGGGGCGGGCGCGGCAGTGAGCGGCCGGGGGCACGCGGTGGCGGATGGAAATGACGAGGGGTTAGAGGAATCGATGCGGGCCTGTTTTTCTTTGGTGGCATGACAGTCGCTCTAATTGGGCCGCAGGCCCAGGTGCGCGGCGTCCGAATGGAACGGATGCCCGTACAGTATCATTATCAATCTAATCCGGGTCTCTATTTGGGCTTCGGGTTCGGAATTCATTGAGAAATCAAAACCGGCTGGCCCAGGAATGCTGTTCCAGCCCAATTCGAGGGAACCGTCCCGTCGAAGAAATAGCCTGTCGTTCCTCAAATCAAAAGAAAAAAAAAACAAATAGCCTGTTGGTGTTTTTTTTTTAGAGTATAGCCTGTTGGTGTTGGGAGCAGGCAGAACCCAAAACCCACCCCGGAAATGGAGCAGAGCGGCGGCGCGATGTCCACCAAGCGCGCGAAGCCCTCGGCCGCCGCCGGAGAGGACCGACTGAGCTCGCTCCCCGACGAGGTGCTGGTCCTCATCCTCCTCCGCCTCGGTACCGCCGCCGCTGGTCGGACCAGCGTCCTCTCCCGGCGCTGGCGCCGCGTCTGGGCGCTGCTCCCGGAGCTCCGTTTCCCCGCTCCGCCGTCGCCCTACACCATCGCCTCCGCGCTCGCCGCCCACGAAGCCGAAGCGTCGCTCCGCCACCTCCTCGTCGAGGTCGAGGACGCCACCCCCGGATCTGTGGCGGCCTGGCTCCCCGCCGCCGCGCGCCGCCTCTCCGGCAGCCTGGTCCTCAGGAACCGGGCGGCTGGGGAAAATCGCGTGGACGGCGGCGAGGAGGAGGACGAGGAGGCCCCGCAAGGAGGCGCCATTGAGCTGCCCTGCTTCGAGCGCGCTACCTCGGTGTCTCTCCCCCTGGGGTTTCTCGGCCTCGCCGTGCCTCCTGCCGGCGTTTTCGCCCGGCTCACCGAGCTCTCCCTGAAGCGTGTCCGGTTCCGCAGCCCGTTCGAGCTCGGCGATGCCATCTCTTCGCCACGGTTCCCGTGCTTGCAGAAACTCAGCGTCAGTCACGCCCGTGGGCTTCAAAACATCGCCATCTACTCGGAGTCTCTGCTTCAAGCGGAGCTGTTCTATTTGGATAGGTTGCAGCAGCTCACCATTGTGGCGCCGGCACTCCGCCGGTTGCTAGTGTGTGGCTGCTTTGCTCGCCGCCAGCCGGTTGCCAACATTTCTACCCCTCAGCTGCGCTACCTCTCGTGGAATGAGCCATATGATCCAAGCTCTGTCAAGCTTGGCAATTTGGGGCAAGTTCAACGGTTGGGCACAAATTATTATTTTGTATATGGGAGGCAGGACTCTAGAACCAATCGTGCCTTTCTATTGCTCCTGGAACGGTTTCCAGTCATCCACAGCCTTCAAACAAAACTTGTCTATCCCACGGTGAGTTCAGATCCTTTCTTATTGGATTAGAATTGAAGTAACATGCTTTTTTTTTGACTCAGCAAGTTAATAAAACTAACATGGCTTATTGCGAATAAACAGGACATCAGAAACTCTCAATACTTGATGCGGATGCAACGCCTCACAGTGCTCCCTTTGATTAAGAGCTTGGCCCTCATCCTAAGCAACAAAGGACATAACTTTGGAGCCAGCTTGTTTCATATTCTCAGTCTGTGTACTTGTTTAGGTGTACTGAGGCTGTGGCTATATAAGGTAAACCATTATTTATTCATGTAAGATCTAAATATTCTAAACAAGTGACAGAAAGCAACATCGACGTTGCATTTCTGTATTGTCACAACTTTGCCTAATCTTTGAGTAGCCTTATTTTCTGTTTTGGTTTTACACCGACAGTTGCTTCAAAGCTTGTGTTTCATATATTCTTGTTTATGTGTATCCTAATGGAAGTAAATTGTTCTATCAGAATGGGATATTTTCCATGGTAATACTATCTGCATGTTGAAAATAAAGGTGGAATTGATTAAATTGCTGCATAATAGACTCAGTTTTGACAGTATGGGATGTTGCAGATAGTAACAAGTTTGGGGCATGTATTAGTCTATTTGGTGCAATTAGTGTAGCCTTGTGTGCATGGAGTCTAGTTGATAGCACTGACATGGAAGCTGTGCTTACTATTATGGTTCCATTTATAACCTATGGTCGTCCATTGAATAATTTTGTTATGGGCTATTGATTGCACGGTACATGCGTATTTGTGTGATTTTAAAATTACTTGTTTGATCATTGTCTTTGTGGATAACCATATTGCTGCTACTTGGCTTCCAGCAAGTAACAAAATATATATCTAGGCATTGACAATTTTTTTTTTGTTTGCTTTACTCTTTTTTTTGTTCCTAATTGCATTTGACAATACTCAATACCTGACAGTAGAACTGGCTCTTCTTGTTCTAGGCACAATCAGAATCAGCCTGTTCATCAGGCTGTATTTGTGATCAACCAACAAACTGTAAGACTGAGGAGCTCATTCTCAAACGCCTCCGAGAAGTAGAGATCACTGAGATGAAAGGATCGGATCATGAACTTACTTTTATGAAACGGCTATTCTGTTGGGCAGTGAAGCTAAAAAAATTGAGACTAATGTATCACTCGGTCACTATAAGCAAGGTGAAGGAAGTGCATGAAAAGTTGCTAAGCCTTGCTATGCCAGAAACACATGTAACTTTAGAAGAATTAAGGTGGTGAGTAACAAGTCGTTTGCTGGCGCCAGAACACCTTGGCATGGGATTGCGATTCCAAGCACTAGCTATCTAATTTTGCATATGTATTGATCGTATGTGAAAAACTTTTAAGTGCCTTGTGTTGATAGGCTTCCCTATATTGATTCTGTGGAGAATGAGAAACTCTGTAATGCTTTCGAATTAATACTATCTTCCTCTAGCTGATAATGCAATAATAAACCAGGAAATGGTTAGAAATTTGTTGATGTTTGGTCGATCCCTTTTCTGAAACTCTGAATTCAGAAAACAAGATTTTGGCCGTAGACCCCAAGCGGAACAGAGATAACAACCTGATCTTTCCATGCATGTATTGTACTATAGTGTGGTGTAGGTTGCTTGTGTATTTTGCGCCTGCAGGCATACAGGAAAAGCCAGGGAATGGCACAAGGTGGTCACCGTGTATAAACCATCTGAAGTTGCGAACCACCACTTCTCTGAAACCAATTCAAATGTTCCAGACTTGACTTTCCAATGCTGCATCTGCATCTTGTCTTATGGAGTTGCAAACTTACAGCAGCTCTGGTTTCTCATGCAAAACAATTCAAACATGCACACGCTCTAGGCGCCAGATTCAGGGCAATGGCCAGTGGACTGGGAAACCAGAGTACAACTTGGGCAGCAGACGTGAAAGACATACGGTTATACCTATAACCGTATAGTCTGATAATGCAACAATAAATAATCTCTGAAATCTGAACATTGATGAAGTTAACCAAACGTTGACCACTCTTTCTTCTTTTGTACCTGAACGGATGGTCAGAATCTTGGTGGCAAGGGACAGCGAGGGGATGTGGAACCTGAGGTCAGGGAGCTCGGGCCAGCAATGCTTTGGCTAGCAGCTGGACCTTGTAGGCTGGATGGCAATGGCAGAGCCTCACTAACGAGTAATCAAGTAACACATATATATACCCAAAAAAAAAACCTGTACCCCGCAACTGAGCTGCCGGCCTTTCAAGCTGAAGGAGAAGTTTCACCATGCATAGCCAGACCCGCTGTTGCGTGATATCCCTAGTAGAGTAAATCATAATGAGGTAAAGCTGATAGTCAATGTGTCATAGCAAAAACTGATGTACTACAATTACTACTACTCGTGGTTTGCATATCAGCAAAATCTCAGGCTCAATCTCAATGATGTCCAATGATCTTTGCAAAACAGTACATTTTGTGACCCTATCACAAAATTTATATGCTTAGGGTTGTCAAATTTGAAAGCTAGATATGTAGAATAAAACTAAAATTAGGTAGAAGTAATGTGTTATCAATTTTGTGATGTTTAAATTTTATCTTGAGACACATATTTTTGTGATCTTTTAATTTTATTTATGCTTCCGTTGGACGACCCTGAGACTACACGAATAAGGTAATTGTAAAGGTGTTGGGCCAACGGATTGCTGTAAGCAATATGTTGGCCGAAGCTCATTTTTTTGTCAGAAGAATAAGGGGTAATGAAATATAGACAGAAACAGGTTCATGCAACCATGCTAATCAGAACTAAGAAAATCAGAGAGATTAAACAACCATACTAATATGTAACTACAAACACAAGTAAATGTAGATTGTAAATTGTAGGTAAAAAATGGGGCCTTGCTCATTGCATCGCCAACTATAATGACCAATAAGCACCTGCATCAGACAACCCAAAACATAAATATTCAAGCTTTGTAGTAGGCTCACATGTGGCCATGGAAGGTAACTGGCATTTGCTTGATGAAATGAGAACGAATAGAAGAAAGAGGAGGAAACTGTTAGCTAATCTACTGTCACCTTGTGAGAACACAGCAGAGGAAGGCGGCGCCGACTTAGCTGCCTGCTGTGTGTGAACACAGCAAGGGAAGGCGGCGCCGACTTTGCCCCCTGCTGTGATCTGAAGAGCCATTTGTGGAGTGCAGGCGCAGACGGCTCACCTACAAAGATCAGAGAACAGCAGTGGTGGGCAGCAGAGTCGCCCTGTCGGGTTATCTAGTTATTGTGCAGCATGGTATTTGCACATGGACTACATAGTTAGAGTTGTATAAATAGACATGTATGGCAACTCGGTAAAGAGAGCTCAGATTTGCCATCACACGATGGGGGCTTCACCAACGCCGTTGCCTTGTATTGTGCGTGCTTGCTCTGTTCTCCTTCCTCTTCTAGCTCGATCCGTAGTGTGTGGGTACGGACAATGCCGCAGACGTGGTCTTGACGGCTAGTGGGTGCTCGGCAACACTAGCGCGTGCTCGGGCGAGACCGACAAGTGCTCCACTCGCTTTGAGCCGGTGGTCGGCAAGATCGGCCGGAGTGGTTCACCGTCGTGAGCCGGTGATCCCGTGAGACCAACGGAGTGGTGCGGAGATCATCTCGGTGGTCGGGAGGCTAAGCGTGGGCCAACAAGTGGTATCGGAGCCGTATAAGCGCCGTCGTCATTCTAACCCGATGGCGATGATGGCGGTTCGGAGTTGGGCGACGGCGGCGGCAGCGCTCGTGGTGCTGCCACCACTACCGGAGGTAGTTGTTCGTGACGGTGCGGGAGGTCGGCGGCACCACTTGGCCGACGCCGACTCGCACTAACTATGGAGAGTGGTCGGTGTACCATGAAGGTCAAGCTTCGAGCCCGTCGGCTCACGGAATCTTTGTTGATGACAAGGGCACCGACATGGAAGAAGATGACATGTCGTGATGGAGGCTATACTACACGCTGTACCGGTGGAGTATAGGGAACCGTTGGGGACGAAAGAGCTCAGCTAAGGAGGCGTGGGAGGCCATTGCGGCGTTGCGCGTCGGTTCCGACCGCGCAAAGAAGGCAACGGCCCGGCTTACAAGCGGAGTACGCAAACCTCAAGTTCAAGGATGGTGAAACGGTGGAGGACTTCTCCCTCCGCTGCAGACGCTCATCGCAGAAGTGAAGAGCCACGGCGTCACCATCGACGAAGAGGAGGCGGTCTCAAGTTCCTCCACTCGCGTCTTAAGCAAAAGTACATCCGATCGCTCTATCCATAGAGACGATTTGGACTTGTCCACCCTCACCATCGAGGATGTGGCAGGCCATCTACAGGCGGTGGACGCGCGCCCGAGCAAAGCGGCAAGAACGGCGACGATGGGAAACTCCTCGCCGACGGAAGAGGAGGGTCGCTCGGCGAAACTCCGGAAGGCGAGCCTCCTCCGATCGCGCGGTGGCAACGGCAAACATCACGGCGGGGCTTCTTCGGTGAAGAAGCAAATCGACTCAACGCGCCGGTGTTGCGGGAAGATGAGCCATTGGGCACGGAGTGCCCAAATCGCAAGAAGGAAAAGAAGGCTCGAGCTCACTGGCGAAAGCCGATGATGAGGATGAGGCTACTATCCTTATGGCGGCGGCGTTACGTAATCGCACGCACGCCGAGGCCATGGAGAGGGAAGAGGCGACGACGGTGGAAGGATCTAGCAAGGCCCTGAAGACCGTCAACCTCGACGAACCACGCGCCCAAGTCCATCTTGGGCATGTGGGCGTCGATCAGGAGCAGCGGTGGTATCTGGACTCTGGTGCCAGTAACCACATGACGGGCTCCAAGGACTCCTTCTCCGAGCTCGACGGCGATGTTACCGGTACGGTGAAGTTTGGTGACGGCTCAAGGGTGGCTATCCAAGGGCACGGCACCATCATCTTCAGATGCCAGAATGGGGAGCACCGCGCGCTAACGGATGTATACTACATCCCGCAGCCGCGTTCCAGCATCATCAGCATTGGTCAGCTGGATGAGCGCGGTAGCGAGGTTCTGATCAAGGACGGCGTTCTGAGGATCAGAGATCGGGAGCAGCGACTTCTCGCCAAGGTGAAGAGGTCCCTGAACCGGTTGTACCTGCTCGACCTAAAGGTAGAGCAGCCGGTTTGCCTGGCGGCAAGGCACTCGAGGAACCATGGATGTGGCATGCCCGGTTTGGACATCTCAGCTTCGACGCGCTTGGTCGGCTGGGGAAGATGGTTCGAGGGCTACCCTACATCAAACACGGAGGCAAAGCTATGTGACAACCGTACTGGCCGGAAGCGAGGAGGCTACCTTTTCCAAAAGCGGCCAAGTATCGCGCGAAGGAAGCTCTCGAGCTAGTTCACGGCGACCTCTGCGGGCCGATCACGCCTGCTACATGCGGTGGTCGGCGGTACTTCCTCCTACTCGTGGACGATTGCAGTCGCTACATGTGGCTACAACTCCTAACGAGCAAGGACGAAGCGGCGGTGGCGATCAAGAAGTTCAAGACGCGCGCGGAGGCCGAGAGCGGCAAGAAGCTCCTCGTACTGAGGACTGATCGGGGTGGCGAATTCACTTCGGTGGAGTTTGCTACGTCTTTGCGTGGATCAAGGTGTGGGGCAACATCACACCGCTACCGCATTTCGCCACAACGAGAATGGCGTGGTGGAGCGACGGAACCAGACAGTGGTCGGCATGGCCTGATCCATGATGAAGGCCAAAGGGATGCCGACAAAGTTCTGGGGAGAGGCGGTGACCACGGCGGTGTTCATCCTCAACCGCGCTCCAACCAAAGCCCTAACGGGCAAGACGCCGTTCGAAGCTTGGTACGGGAGCAAGCCAAACGTGTCATTCCTCCGGACATTCGGTTGCATCGGCCACGCCGGAAGACGGGCGAACCTCACCAAGCCGGAGGCAGGAGCACACCCATGGTGTTCTGGGCTACGCGGAGGGTACCAAGGCGCATCGGCTCTATGACCCACGTGGAGACAAGGTGTGTCTCTCGCGCGACGTTGTGTTCAACGAGGAGGCGACTTGGGGACCGGCACAGTCGAGCATGGGGAAGCGGAGGCTTCACCAACACCTTCGTCGTCGAGCACTTGGTCATCCACAGCGGTGGAGACGCTGCGGAACAGTGCCGCGACTCGGGAGGAGCGCCGAGCACTCCCGCGGTAGAGTCGAAAGCACTTCGGGGCAAAGGTCCGAGCACTTGGGAGGGATGCCGAGCACTCCGAGAGGAGTGTCGAGCACTCGGAGGAATTTCGAGCACGCCAGAGTGGAGCCAGCGGTTCTCTGATGGCGGCGACCACTTCAGACGGGTACCGAGCACTCCGTGGCGGAGCCAAGACGTCTTTGTGGTTCCGACCACTCCAAGATCGAGGTTGGGCACTCCTACTGGTGTGGCCGAAAATGCGCAGGAGTTATGACGAAGCGGCCCGAAGCGATCTGCCGAAAGCACTTGAGGTGCTATGCGAGGCACTCGGCGGAAGAAGGAACTCCATCACCCCGATCGAGTTCGCCTCACCTCAAGTGACATCACCGAGTTCGTGGACGCCTACCACGAAGGTGAGGAGTTGAGGTTCGCTTGGTGGACGACATCGTCGGCGCACAGTCCCTCGGTATGGCGGGTAGGTCGCTCAACGACGCAGCCGCTACTCGTCGGTCTGGAGAGGAACCACCCACGTTCGCGCTAGCCGAGCGCGA